CCACGCCACTCTCTCACTTCATCCCAGCTTACCCTCTACCCGCCTGCTCCCCCACCCCGTGTCCTCAAGTCCATTCTCTACGTCTGTGTCTTTATTTCTGTCCTGCCCCTAGTTTCATCAGAACCAATTTTTTTTAGATTCCATATATATGTGTTAGCACACAGTTTCTGTTTTTCTCTTTCTGACTTACTTCACTCTGTATGACAGACTCTAGGTCCATCCACCTCACTACAAATAGCTCAATTTCATATCTTTTTATGGCTGAGTAATATTCCATTGTATATATGTGCCACATCTTCTTTATCCATTCATCTCTCGATGGACACTTAGGTTGCTTCCATGCCCTGGCTATTGTAAATAGTGCCAGGAGACTGTTTTTCAAAGTGATTGCACCCTTTTACATTCTCACAAGCAATGTATGAGGGTTCTAGTTTCTCCACATCCTCACCAACACATTATTATGTCCTTAAGTGTAGCCATCCTAGTGGGTGTGAAGTGATATCTCATTGTGGGTTTGATTTCTGTTTCCCTACTGACTCATGATGTTGAGCCAATTGTCCAGATTTGGCCAGTGGGAACCTCTTCAAACTGACTCCTATGTCCTTTAATTTACGCCCATCACTTTTCGAGTGCTGTAATGGACTTAAACTGTGTCCCTTCAAGGTTCATATACTAAAGTCCTAACCCCCAGTATGCCTCAGAATGTTACTGTATTTAGATGCAGTATGGAGCCCTAATTCAGTATGACTGGTGTCCTTATAAGAAGAGGGAAAGGGATGGGGTGGGGAGGGCGTGTATACAGAGAAAAGACCATGTGAGGACACAGTGAGAAGATGGCCATCCACAAGCCAAAGAGATAGATCTCAGCCAAAGAGATAGATAGAACAGACTTGTGGTTGTCAGGGGACGGGGTGGGGGGAGGATGGGTTGGGAGTTTGGGGTTAGCAGGTGCAAACTATTATATATAGAATGGATAAACAACAAGGTCCTACTGTATAGCACAGAGAACTATACTCGATATCCTGTGATAAACTGTAGTGGAAAAGAATATGAAAAAGAATGTATATATATGTATAATTGAGTCACTTTGCTGTACTGCAGAAATTAATACAACATTGTAAATCAACCATACTTCAATAAAATAAAATTTTAGAAAACAATTTTAAAAAAAGAGAGAGAGAGACAGGTCTCAGGAAAACCCAACCCTGCTGACACCTTGATCTTGAACTTCTAGTCTCCGGAACTGTAAGAAAATAAGTTTCTGTTATTTAAACCACCCAGCCTGTGGTATTTTGTTAGGCAGCTCTAGCAAACTGATACAAGCGTTTTCTTACTTGCTGGTGCCACAAGGCTCATCTTGTACTTTCCTGCCCCAGCCCTGGAATCAGCCATTTCTTCAAAGCTTACTAGTTCTTGGAGAACAATATTTAGAAACCAGGATCTATACCTGGTGTCCCTATTGTTTATTGTTCCCAGCCATCTCCATGGAAGAGCTAGGAAATGTGTGTGTGTGTGTGAAGCACCCCCCGTGCTTTGACATCATATAGAATTTAAGAAACTCATGAGGCTAATGATAGTCTATTATATTTACCCCAGTTTTTTTCACTCATTCCATTGTTCCCCTTTTCTTTCTGAAGTTCCCAGTCTTCTGTTATTGTTTTTTTATGTTTTCATAACAGTAGGTGATATCCGGACTTTCCAGTGCCATTGGATATGAGTTTCAGGAAACACTGAGCCTGGATCACTTAACGCCTCTGTATCCATTTCTGTGTTTATCTGTCTGTATATATGTTAGAAACCATGGATTCCTATTGCTAACCTGTGATTTCCATCCAATAGCACAAGGTTCATTCTAGCCGCCCCTCATTCCTTATTTGCCTCATCTTAGAAGATGTGTAGTTTCAGAATTGTTAACCGGTACCCTTGTGAGAAACAAACCTACCAATTGTTCCTGGTTCTTTTTGCCTCTAACCTTAGGTTATATGGTAAGAATACTATGTTCACATCACTAACGTTATTTCTCCCTTCCTCCCCTTCAGTGTGGTTGAGTTATTCATTCAAACCTCGGTTAAATTGGTTTTTGTTTGTATTCCATTTTCTCTATCTGCTGCCCGATCCTTGCTGGTTGGTTTTATTTATTTGTTTGTTTGTATGTGAAACTTTAACATGGTTCAAAAGGTCAAAACTTTACAAATAACTATACTTGGAGAAGTTTACTCCTCTCTCATCTTTTCCCATCTCCCCTTCCTCGCACCGTGTTCCCTTGTGCCCTACAGGTAACCAAGCCCAGTCATTTCTGAATTATCCTTCCTGTGTTTCTTTGGGTTTGGCCACTGCATCCCATCCAGAGACGATTCCTTACAGTGAACTCCAGAGCATACACATCTCAAATACTGATGCTGGCATGGAGTGACGCTGCGTTGTCTTATTCCTTAACTCCAATCAGTTAATCAGTCAGTGATTATTTGGGGCTTACTCTGTGCCAGGCACTGGGTTAGATGCAGGGCACGGAAGCCTGGGCCAGATGGTGAAGCAGGTTGTTCTGACCCCCTGTGCCTTCTCACCCTTGGAATCTGTCCCTTCCCTCATCTGCTCACCTCTCTCCTTTGTCTCTCCTTCTTCTGGTCTGTTGTTCCCTGCCTGTTTCACAAAGCTGTTGTTATTTCAGTGACTAACCAAGACTTAAATACTATGAGTCATGTATCCAATTTATGATATTACTCTTACAAATAGTCAACACTAAATAACATTGACAACTGGCCAGAACTACTCAAGCTAACGTTGGTTACTGATTAAATGTGATGGGAAAAATCAAATCTTCCTCATCATATTGGGTCTCCCAGGACACATGTATGTGCAGAAATACTATGACCATGAAGGAAAAATCCCAAGGGCAATAAAAAGTTCGTTATGTACAAAATGCTAAATCTAATCTTTGTTGCAAAAGTAAAACTGACATGGACTAATCCCAATGGAAATTTTAGTGGAGCATAAATAAAAATGGAAAAAATGGAAACTATGCTTACAGAAAATGACTCCATGGATTCTGGACCAGAAAATACAAAATACAGGAGGGAGGGGGAGCAAGAGGGGAGGCTGGAGAGGAGGCCAGGGGGCCAGACTTGTGCCTAATTCCCAGGGCGGTGGGAAGCACTGATGAGCTGTAAATAGGGGAGTTACGTCAAGTTTACATTTAGAAGTGTGTCTCTGAGTGTGCTGTAGAAAACGGAGAGGGCAAGATGTGTGCTTCTGAGGCCCTCCCCTGAACCCCAGAGCTGAGGAAGGGCCAGATAAAGGTGAAGGACTGGGGAGGGAGGGGAGGATAGGAAAAGAAAGAGAGAGGGAACTGTGGCTATAGATGGTGGGAAAAGGATGCGAAATCGGAGGCGTCTTAGTTCTTAGAGAGCTAGGCCTTGGAGGGGAGAAAAGTTAGGAAAGACCGTGAATAGGGGGAGGATAAGGTGAGGGGCAGTCCAGATAGAAGAGGGGTTGTGGGCAGAGGAGAGGGAGCACAGGCCCACAGGAGAGACCCTGGAGAGGAGTCTCAGAAGGTGTGTGAGAAGAAACTGTTCGGGGAACTATTGCAGCACGGTGGGTGGTCCCTGTCTCCCCCACCCCCCAGAACTCTCATACACTGCTGCTGGGAGTGTCAAAGAGTGCAGCCATTTAGGGAAATGATCTGTCAGTTTCTCATAAAGTTTATTCACCCTATAACCCATTCCACTAGTAGGTATTTTACCCAGGAGAAGTAAAGACACATGTCCACATAAAGACTTGTACAGAATGTTCACAGCAGCTTTATTTATAATAGCTGAAGACTGAAAATGACCCACATTTCATCAACAAGAAAATGGACAGACACAGTGTGGTACATCCATACAGCGGAATACCGCCCTGCTGGCTGGTATGCGAATTCTGTGAAACAATCTACCAGTCTGTGCAGCGGCATGGACAAGCCTCAAAAACTTTATGCTGAGCTGAAGAAGCCAGACACAGCAAACAGTACATGCTGTCGGATTCCGCTCATATAAATTTCTAGAACAGGCCAAAGTAACCTGGTGGAAGTCAGAACAGTGGCTGCCTGACGTTGGAAGGTATTGACTAGGAAGGGGCATGAGGGAACTTTCTGAGATGATGGAAATATTCTGCCTCGTTAGGGACCTGGATTACACAAGTGGAAGCATTTGGCAAAACTCATGAGACCTACACTTAAGATCTGCACATTTCACTGTATATAAATTATATATCAATTATAAAACAGTCTATTGCGGTCTGGGAAGATTGGAAGTGGCATTACAGATCAGAAGTGATTTCTTCCTTTGGCTTGTATTTTCTTCCTGATTCTTGGCTTCAAAGGTTCTTTGTTTTAAAGTGCATTAGCCTGCTTGTCAGGGCTCTCTCTGACGCAGCCAGCTGGCCGTGGCCCCCAGCCTGCTCTCCCTTTATTCTCCGTGCTTAGAATGCCCACATCCTCTTGTGCCCGTACGCGTACCAGCTCCATCCTGGGTTCTCCAGCCAATGAGACCCTTAAAGGGACTGGACCTTTTTTGTCTTAATGTTTCAAGACACAATTTGACAAGATGGGCAGGAGTAGGGGCCATGTGGTGTCACGGAGATGGTGGGGCCTTTGGAATTGCCTCCACCTGGGTTTGAATCCAGAGGTTATCCCTGTGTGGCCTTGAACCCGTATACCTGAGCCTCAGTTTTCTTCTGTGTAAACTGGGGATAATAGCACCCATCTTGTAGTAGTGAGACACCTGTGCTTGGCACTCAGGGGAGCCAGGAAGCCTGGCGGCTGGGGTCCTGGCTGCCTCTGCTGTGGCTTCTGCACAGCGGGTGCTGCTTCCAGGCTCTCCCCCGGTGCAGGCCGCCCGCTGGGGCTCTGGGCACACCGTCTCCCCTCGCGTGTCCGGTGCTGTCATCTTATGTCTTGTTGAGAGCTGAGTCAGGAAGCTCAGCTAAAGGACACTGACCTCGTACTATTCTTGTTATGTTTTAAGGGTATCAGCATGGAAGGCGTGAGTGAGAATAAAATGGTGCCCTCTGATTTTAGCACAGGACCTCTTGAAAAAGCTGCCAAACCTTTGCCATTTAAGGATCCCAACTTTGTGGTAAGCATCTAAGGTGTTTTAGAAGTAAAAACCCAAACAACTATACCTCGGCCCCTGATCTTGCTGGGCCTGCAGCCCAGGCGGCACTGGTGCCCCGTCTCCATCAGCCCAAGTCACTGCCTCCTCCACCGTGGGCTGTTGTAGGAGCGGTAGGGGCAGGAGAAGAAGGCCCTTCCTGTTGACCTCCCAGTGTGCCAATTCCCAAGGATTTTGGTGTCCTTTGTGGAACTCATTAAAGGATACCATCTTGAGAGTGGGTCACTTCCACGATGATTGCTCACTTTCCTTCTTCATAAGATTTAGATGAGGCTTGAAATAATTAACTAAAAGAGGAGTGCTTGAGGGGTAGGATAAATTACATGATTCAGATTATACCATTGAAGTTTATTTTTCATTAATTAGCTTTGAAAATACAGCGTTAACAGTTGTAACAGATTTTTGTATTCCTTCCATTTTATTTTGTCATCGTCATAAGACAACAAAGAAAAAAAAATTTCCAGAAGGCTTGCTGTGCCATGATTGAGGCTTCCTTGGGTTTTCCTGGAGCACCAGTAATTTACAAGGTGGAGACTGGCCCTCAGAAAGGAATTTGGAGATGTGGTCATGAGTTTAAATCTAACTCTGTAGTAAATTTATTTTAAAGTAGTGGGAAATTCATGAGTGAATTCCATAAAGTTAGACCCAATAAAGGATGTGATTTTCTATGTGCATATAAAAAAAAATAACCTTTTGTTTCTACTCCATCACCAACTAACTCATATGTTTTGACAATCCAAAAGCTGTGGTTTTTTTATAAGTAAGATTGAAGTGTACGGTGTAATACTTTTTAAAAAAGCCTTAGGGTACACTGACTGCTGATTGAATGAGGGGTTTATTACAGTTATGAATATGCATAAATGTCAGGTACTGAAATGATCATCTCCACTGATTTCTGTTTCTTCCAATCCGTGTTTTCGCCTCGAGCACTCTGGCCATGGTGGCGCAGCGGCTGGCAAGAAGAATAGAACCTGGAAGAACCTGAAACAGATTCTGGCTTCTGAAAGGGCACTGCCATGGCAACTGAATGATCCTAACTGTGAGCTGACTAGAACCTCCGATGTGTTTATAATGTCAGACTAGGAACTTTCTTATAACAAACCCACATTATTGTGTTTGCATTCATGTAGAAACACTTTTTAGCCTGGGAATTTTACAGTGGCATCCACATAGGGAGATTATGTGTATATTTCCTCATAGCTATATTCTGTGTTGAACCTGTGTGTTTGCGTTGTCATGGATGTGTGGTTTTTAGTGTCACTGTTAACATTTCAGTCTGCAGCAGTAGTATGCTGCAGTATTTCCAAATCTGTGTTACGTGTTCTGCTCAACTTCCATGGAAAGTACAGGTTCGAACTTCCTTCCATCTCTTGCCCCACTGCACACGTCTTTCATGGGGGTGACTCAGATGGGTGACAAGTGAACTAGTCAGTTGCCTGGGTGTGGACATTCTGGTGTCTGGATGCTCAGATCCAATTAGTGGGTTGTTTGGCATCTCATCACATCAGGCCATGTAACTGGAGACAGTGAAAGTAGCTTGTGGGCAGATGAGCTTTCCCGTGGTTCTGCTGGAGTGGAGGGTCCCTGGGGACAGGGCAGAGCTGGATCTGGAGCCTGCACTTGGTCTATGACATCCTGCATTATTTCCCCAGAGAATTCTCTGAGTACTGAATCGCAAAGTAAAAAGTTCAGGAACATTATCAAGCAGTATTTTAGGGAAAGAAAAAAAAAAAGGGAAAGGGTCTGAACGTTTTAAAGCCAGTTTAGTTATTTTCTTTTTTTTTTTTCCCCAGACTTCAGTATTGATGCTCCTCCATCCTTTAAACCAGCTAAGAAGTATTCTGATGTTTCAGGTCTTCTTGTGAGTATAATTACATCTCTGTGTCTTACAACATTGAACTGAAAAGGAGATTTCACGGTACTGTCTATTTAGAAAGTGTTGGATATTGACACTGGTCCTGCCGGAGCCCGTGTACTCTGAACAGGTAATGGGTTTGTGCGGAAGCATTCACTCAGTTATTTAAGAGTGGCTGCAACCTGGGGCATCCATGTGGGCAGCCTGGAGCGAGGGTTGCTCCCGAAAGCAGGAGACCTGAGTGTTAGTTTCCCTTCCTCTGCTTGTTAACTATATGAGAGAACATGAAAGAAACAACAATTTCCCATTTTTATTGCTGAAGTTTAAAAAAAATCCTGCAATTTAGAGATGATTGTATTGGGTCGGCCAAAAAGTTCGTTTGGGTTTTTCCATAAGATCTTATGGACAAACCTGAACAAATTTTTTGGCCAACCCAATACTTTAAAGAAAAAAAAATTAAACTTCTTTAAAGAGGCACTATGGTAAAGATAGTGATTTTCAAATTTATTTTTAAGCATCAGAATCCCTTTTCCAAATGAAATCTTTTACAGAATCCCCTGGAGCCCACCTGCCTACTGTGACCCCGTGTGGATCTGGTCCTCTGCCCTTTCCCCCACTCCCCACCCCAGGGACCCCTACGGTGCTTCTAGGGAAAACAGTTTGAAAACCAGCAGTGCATTTGGACAAGTGGGACTTGGGTAAGTCCCCGAACCTCAGCGACCCCAGAGAACCTCGTTTCCTTGTTTGCAGAATATGGATGAAGTGTGGAATTTCCCGCTTGCTTTCTTCATCCTTTTTCATTATTATTAAATTTGGAAGATGGGCTTCTTTTCATAACTGTAGAAATAATGAGACACCTCACTTTTTGAAGCTCATATACATCACTTAAATGCTTTACCTTTTTATGAAAATGCGTGACTCCAACTTCTGTAACACACTAAGTTAATGATATTGGGAAAGATTTTTTATTATATTTTTGAAAATAATGTTAGTTTTCCTCTCTGAGTTAGTCATATGTTTTAGCTTTTCCTCCAAAGAGGACACACTCTTCAGAGTACTACAGACTTGTTAACATAGACCTTAAATATAATGATCCTAAAAAATAGGGAGAGTAGAAGCACTATAAAGTGACGTCTGTGTGTGTGTGTGTGTCTGTGTGTGTCTGTCTTGTGTGTTGGGTTCTTCTTTTTGCGTCCATTCATGGGCATGTATCTTTTTCGAAAGGTCCCCTGAGGGGGCTTCCATTAGAGAAAAATATTGTAGTGTTATGCTATCTCTCGTCTACTGCCTGAAGATAGTTGCCTCATATATTTGACCCATTTTAATAGTTGTTTATGGAAGGAGGGCTCATCTGGCACAAGTCATTCTGTTATGGCCCAAAGTGGAAATTTCTCCCTGTACCATTTTGTGCTGAGCTTGTAGAAGCCATGGTTTATGGCCAGACTTGGAGGGTGGCCCCTTAGAATGTAGCTTTATCCTCACCCGTATCAGGCAGCTCATCTGCTAGTGGAGTGGTTTTCACACATTAGGAGGCACGAAAGTCATTTTGAGAAGCATTGTTCCAGGCCCATTTATGCCATCGGCAAAGGACTTGTCATGTTATACATAACTAACCTATTGCCCCACTGTGTGTAAGAATTAAGACATTCTGAATAGACAAAGAACTCTACCAAATCATTGAAAGACAATCCCGTAGAAGAATCAGCCACAAGAATATGAATAGACAATTACAAGGAGGAAATACAGATGACCAATGAGCAGATGTTCAATGATAATTAGGAAAAAGACTCATCAGGTAGGAAAGAAATGAAGACATTTGGTTATATACCTTGTCACCAACATAGACAATGGACATCCTCCTACATGGCTGTCTTGAGGTGGGAGCCACATTGGTACACATTCTCGGGAAAACGATTGGCACTACCTATCGAGACAAAAAGGTAGAGGCCTACGACCTAGCAATTTGCCTTCCAGCCAGCTCCCTAGAGAAATACTGTGTACAAGGAGCTTCATGCAGAAATGCTTATGAGAAAATGTGTTAGCAAAATATTGGAAACAACATAAAGTTCAACCAGTGGGGTAGGGCTGGGGGGTTCATACTATTCTGTGAGTTTGACGTATAGGTAACAACATGGGTAAACTTCCAAGATGTGGTGCAAAGCAGGATAAGTAGCATGGTACCACTTCAGTAAAACTCAGTACACAGTCACAAAAAATACTGGGCACTTCTCTGGTGTGTTTGTATGTGTGTGTGAGGGTATGTATATAAACAAGGCCTGGAAGGGTGCCCACCTAGCAGCACTTTCCTCAGGGGAAGAAAAAGGACTTCTGGATGGTAGATGGTAGTAAAAGGAGACTTTAGTCTTATTTGCAGTGTTTTCTTTTTTTTAGAGGAGAATATGTTCACCTGTTACTTATATAAATTAAACTTACGTAATTAAAAAGTAAAGCCGGGGGCTTCCCTGGTAGCGCAGTGGTTGAGAGTCCGCCTGCCGATGCAGGGGACACGGGTTCGTGCCCCGGTCCGGGAGGATCCCACATGCCGCAGAGCGGCTGGGCCCGTGGCCATGGCCGCTGAGCCTGCGCGTCCGGAGCCTGTGCTCCGCAGCGGGAGAGGCCACAACAGTGAGAGGCCTGCGTACCGCAAAAAAATAAAAAATAAAATAAAGCCAGGCTCATGTTTACACTGACCCATCTGTTCCAGCCAGTGGCCATTTCCCCTGTGTTGGGGCCTGGCCGGAAGGGATGCAGGGTCACATCTGTGTTTAGCCCTTGTTACAAGGCTCTGGGTGAGATGGGGGAGCAGCATATACTGCCTGTCCCCCTGTAACAAGGGAGGCATGAAAAGCCGTGTGCTGCCTGCCCTCTGGGCAGGGGGCCTTTGCTTCATTCAGGCTGGAGGGACGGAGCCCAGAGGAGGGCAGACCGCAGGAGTCCAGCTCTTTACTTGTTCATCTCTGAGGTGTCACCCAGCCGCCTTCCTTCTGTTCAGAATACTAGGTCAGGTCTGGTCCGTGCAAGTTTTTGTTTGACCTCTTTGTTGGTGCAACAGTTCTCTGTATTCCACATTATTTGTTCAGCAGCCTTCTTAGCAGTGAGGCCTGAACTTGGGCGGGCGGGCTTGGCACAGTTTGGTGGTCGGAGTGAGGCAGCCACAGAGATGGAACCGGGCCAGGGCTGGTTCATCCATGGAGGCCAGATAATCAAAGCCAGATGCACATGCCTGCACCCCTGCTCGGAACTGCAGGGCAGCTCCCCTGCCAGTTAGTACATCTAACTGCCTCATGGCCAGGAGCCCTCAGAAGGGACCTGCTGCTGTTTTTCCAGTTAAGCCTTCCTTTATATGAGTGGCATGAAAGGAAATGTGGTACAGAAAGGCAATATCTAGATTAAGCCAAAGGATCAAAGTTTTGTTTTATATAGAACTTTAATTAATCTTAGCTTTTTAGGAATAATCTCATTTTCCTGACACACAGACCTCAGATACCTTAGGGAGATCCCCAGTGATGGAACTGAAGAGTTTTTAGAGCATGAGAAACCCATGACTAAGTTCCCTTCAGCTTGTTGCTTCTTCACCAAGCCTCCCTCCCTCCTTAGATCCCAGCGCGTCTGGGTCCATGCAGAGACGACCAGCACTGGCGCAGACAATCCACACCTGAGTAATTGGCTGTTACCTGTCTAAACGTTAATGGCATCTTTTATAATTTTTTAAAGGAGCTCCAAATGACTCACCCTCATGTTTTCTGTTTCAAAATCTGTAGGAGCCATGTGCCTTGAGGTAGATAGTAAGTGAATATTTTCTCCACTCTGCACCCGGGGAGAACAGACCAAAAGAGAATTTTGATATATCAGTGGGAAACAAGTTCTCTTTTCTGTGACTCTCCCCATCATTCATTTGTTTGTTCATTCACTCATCCCTCATTCACGGTAGCTGAAGGCCCACTGTGCGCTCTGCATCGCACTAGGAGACAGTACAGCCAGGATCCAGTGATAAGCAAGCCACAGGGTTCTTGCTTCGTGGAGACTCACAGCCTAGACTTCAGGCAGAGTCACACAGATGATAAACGTAAGAGCAACAGAGGTAAGCATTCCACCGGAGATAGGGGTGCTGAGGTGAACGTGAGGATAGGGTCCTGACTGCCTGTGGGGCAGATAAAGCTTCCCCGATGATGCGACTTCGGGATGAGCAGGTGGTCACTGGGCAAGGAAAGGGCAAATGGGCAGGACGGGAGGGAGGCGCTTAGGGCCGGGGTGGTTGGAACCGGACGGTGGGGACACGTGGCTGAGGCAGGGGCTCGGAAGGAGGGGCCCAGGCAGGGCCTGAGGAGCTGTGCTGCGGACTTGGGCCCTTGAGAGGTTTCATGAGGAAAGACATGATTGGAGCTACAGGTTGTAAAGATGCCCCTGGCTGCAGGTGTCGGATGGCAGCCCTTTCCAGTGGAGGACGGTGGGTGGCCAGTCCGGCACTGCAGGGTAGCCCAGGGAGCCATGGAAGTGACCTGGGGGCGGTGAGGGGAAGCAGGAGAGCAGCGCACTGGGAGTAGGTGGTGTGGGGATGGGGTGCCCCCCCCCCCCGGCCTTGGGTGACAGATCGGGAGCATTTGTTTGAAGCAGGTGGAGTTTGAAGGCAGGGATCAGGGAGGGATGATCAGCATGAATTCAGTTTGGACCTGTTGCTGGTAGCCCTGAGGCACCAACCACAAGGGTCCCGGTGTCTGATGTGGTTATTCACCCTTCCTCCTGTCCATACCCTGAAGCCTTTCTCAAGTCTGGGAAGACTAATGTGTCTTTGCCAAACTGAGCGATTTAGCATTCTTGGTGACAGAGTCAGACATGATGAAGACATTTTTCAGTTTCAGTAAAACAGAAAAATAATTTTTATCTTGATCTGAAATCTCAACTCCGACAACAACTTTCTGCCCTTCTCTGTGCCTGTGTCTCACCCAGGCCAGCTACACTGACCCCCAGAGCAAGCTGCGCTTCAGCACCATCGAGGAGTTTTCCTACATTCGGCGGCTGCCGTCCGACGTGGTCACGGGCTATCTGGCCCTGAGGAAGGCCACGAGCATCGTTCCCTGAGCCTGGAGAAACGGAGCATGAAGTGGAAAACTGTTTCAAAGGCAGACTTTGGACTCAAGATTTTGTTTTATGGAAACAAACTCATTCTGTCAATCTGGAAATGTCAGTGTTGGGCCTTGGAAAGAATGTTTGGCTTTAATTTAAGGAGGTTTTTTTGTTTTCCCTCCAAGTGTGATATTTCCTGTTGAATTAAATTATACTTCAGTTGTTGCCCCAAGTAAAGTTGTTTGACAAGAAAATATAAAATTGTGCTTTTAATTTAACCCAAGTAAGTCCTCGAACTTTTGCTTCAAAGCTGTGGACTCTTGTAACATGTTTAAAGACTTGACAGTGAGTCCTGACAATGAGGCTGAATTATTCCTGATCCCGGGGACTCCCTCTCTGAGCATGTTCAAATTTGTCCCTGATTGGAATGCTTGGAAGAGGTCCAGAATTGGGGCTGGAGAAGAGAGAACTGAGGAACTCACCCTGTCACACTGGGTCAGTCCTCATTCTAGGCCTTGGCCTCTGAATCAGCCTCTCTTCCCTTCCCGGCCTCCAGAACTGAGAGAGATGCATCTGTTAGTTAAGCCACTGAGTGGTCTGTGGCATTTACAGCAGCCTGAGCTGACTAAACCAGCAGCCCCGGCCCCTTTTTGGAGGTGTGGGGTACGACCATCGTCACCCCTTCCAAGCAGGATGTCTGTCCTGGTACAGGATGCTGTCTGCTCCAGAACAGGGCCTGCCTCTGAGAAGAGGAGGCGCTCATGGGCCAGGAGAAGGAGACGTACTCCAAGCTTCCCTGAGCCCCATTCCCACAGGCCTCTGGGGGGCGACAGTGGAACCAGACCCTGGGGCTTCTGGGCCAGAGCTGCCTGTGCTTTGGGTGGCTTAGGCCCCCAGGTGCCTTTGCTTTCTGAGGGAAAGCCCCTCCTGCCCTCCTCTGGGCACAGAGAAAGGAAAAACAAAGCCGAGAGTCAGCTGGGGGCCAGCCTGCTGGGCGGGTGGCAGCTGCCGGGAACTAGCAGCCCTTGTGTCATTCAGCCCCTTCCCAGCTGGTGGGGAGAGTGGGAGGGGTGTGGCGTGGCTTCTCCCTCCCCCACGGAAAGGGACCGAGGTGATGGCCAGGAGAGCGAGGACCTTCTCTAAGCCCGTGAGCACTGAAGCACTGGAGCCTGCGGCGCGGGGCCCTCAAGCCTCAGCGCTAACAGAACCACCTGAGGCCCCGCTGTAACACAGACAGGGGCCCATCCCCCAAGGGTCTGATCCAGAGATTGGGGGTGGGGCCTGAGAATTTGCATTTCTAACAAATGATTCTGATGTTGCTGGCCCCAGAAACTGTACTTTGAAACCCACTGCTGACACGGAAGTTCTCTGCAGGACCAGAGGCTGCTTCCTGGGTTCTCGCTCCTGCGTCCCCTGCCTGCACTCAGCCTAGGAAACCCCCATGGGGCGAGTAAGTCAAGGGCCCTTCTTGCCTTGCTTCCACCTTCTATGACGCAAAGAACACATGGGGCAGGTGCACTTCTCTTCCGTGAAGACCCCCCGTTTGGACCATGCCCCACGATCCTAACCATTTCTAGAAATGGAAATTCTAGTCATTTCTAACACTGCTTGCTGGCCGCTACCTCAGTCCTGATTTCAGACTCCCCTGGGCCAGGGCCAGGAGGACAAAGGATCCCTGCCTGGCACACGGCCACCGGGGGTTCCCACAGACCCCTGCAGGCCTTTCAGGGTTTGAGGGGGGTGGGTGTGCACCAGAGCCCTCCGTCAGAGTCACCTGGGACCTGTTAAAATGCAGATTACTGGGCCACACCCTACACCTTCTAATCAATGCAGGGAGTGGGGCCCAGGCATCTGCATTTGACAAGTATCCCAGCGTGCCTGTGACGCACAGGAGGTTGAGACCACTGCCTTCCGCAGGCAGAGGGGAAGCACGTGTGCTGGACACCTGGCTCCCTTCTTTCCTTTTCCCCTGCCAGGCCTTCCTTGCCAGCCCTTATTTTGGCCAGAGAGCTGAGTTCTGAAGGTCAGGTCACTTCTCTCACCCCAAGCAACAGGGATCCAGGCTGAGCCAAGCTAAGCTTCGAGCTGTGAGCAGCTCCAAGGAGTCCTCCCACAGGTTCTGAACAGGAAGGTAATTTGGTGCTGAAACAGCCCTCGCTGTGCATGCCTGGTCCAGTGGTTCTCAGCCCCGCTGTACGTCAGCATCACCTCTGCAGGGAGACAGAGGGGTGTAGAGGGAGGTGTCAAAATACACAGGGATTCGGACTCAACTGGCCTGAGCTGGGAGGGGGCGGGGGTGTGCTGCCGGGCATAGTGTTTCTTAAACTCCCCAGATGATGGTGATGTGCAGCCAGTGTTGAGACCCTTGTTGCAACTACAAAGAGAATATTTCCCGTGGGGTATGGGGTATGTTTTCTTTTCTTTTTTTTTTGCGGTACGCGGGCGTCTCACTGTTGTGGCCTCACCTGTTGCAGAGCACAGGCTCTGGACGCGCAGGCTCAGCGGCCATGGCTCACGGGCCCAGCCTCTCCGCGGCATGTGGGATCTTCCCGGACTGGGGCACGAACCCGTGTCCCCTGCATCGGCAGGTGGACTCTCAACCACTGCGCCACCAGGGAAGCCCAGGGGGGTATGTTTTCTAATTCACAGGTCAGCTGGCTCTGTACACCCAGGCTCATGGGCAGTTTGGAAGGGGGTTCTTCTGTGTGTGTGTGTGTGTGTGTGTGTGTGTGTGTGTGTGTGTCTGTGTGTGCAGGCCTGTGTGTGTGTCTATTTAGGATTCCTTTTTACACAGCTCCCCAGCACTGGAGTCAGAAACACAAATGTCACTGAAGATTCCTCCCTGCTCCATATTCATCCCTCATGTTCAATCCGACCCAAGCCCCCTTTTTCTCACACTGATACTTTCTCTTCTTTCAGCTCTGTTCCTGCCTGACCTCACTTCCTGTCTGGATGTTTTCAGTGTCCTCTTAGGTGCTCTTTCCAACAGTCTGACCCCCACCCCTCTGCTTTCCCCTCTGCTGTCAGAGGGCCTTTCCACAACTTTGGATGAACTTGACTTTGCCCATCACGGCACATCCACTGGTGATTTGTCTGAGATACCTTGTGATTTCTGGCGCTGACCTGTAGTATCTAAAGGATGAACTTGGTCCTTTAAAAGGGAAAACATTTGAAAAACCAGATTGTTTTCTTAAGACCAAACTGAGGTCCAATCTGCTCTGAGTGGAGTTTGGCTTTTTCCCAATACCTGATACTTGTCTTTAATAGGAAGAAAGCAATCTACTACTGGGAACAGTTTAGAACTAACTACCTGTAATGTTGGACAAATGCTTTCGAGAGCTGAGGGCAGTCTGTGTGGATGAGAAGGACCCATTTTGTCCCCATCTCCCAAGGTAAAGCACGCATCCATCTGGATTTTGAATATGTTTTGTAATTGGGCTAAAAGTATTTTCAATGAGAAATGTCTCACTTCTGAATCCATGGCCATCATAAAGCAATACCAGATACTTGATGCTGTTTCCAGCGACCTATAACTGCGAGTTGGGAATGCTTAACTTAGCAAAAACAAAAGGTAAGGAAAGAAACTGCTGGAGTACAGAGTAAAGAAACCAGAACAAAGAGGACAGATACCTTGGGAAGAGACTGAAAATGACGTCCTCTTGCAAATGCATGAAATGATTAGTGATACTTAAAATAATGTTCTATCTGGTAGGAATGTGCAAGCCTTATCTGGATCCTGATTCAAACAAAAAGAAATTAAAACCTTTTTGAAACAATTGGAAATGTGATGTTTGATGATTTTTAGGAACTCTTATGAATACTTTTAGTTGTGATAATGGTCTTGTCATGTTAAAAGAAAGGATTCATATCTTTTAAAAAAACACATACTGAAATATTTATGGATGGAATGATGTGTTATCTGGGATTTGCTTCAGGATAAGATGGGAAAGAGGAAGTTGGTGTGAGGAGTGCTGAACCAAGACTGGCCAGTAACTGCTGAAGCTGAGCGATGGGTACACGGAGGTTCATTACACTATTCTGCTTTCACAGGTGTTTGAATTTCTTCATAATAAAAAAGTTTTTTTTAGAATATGATGTTTTTATTACTAAAAATTGTGATGAATTTTTACCTAAAATTGGTGGTCTGCATGAGCATAAAGGGGTTTATGGAAGCTGAAAGTTTGGGAAATGCTGCTGAATGGTACATGGTCTTAAGTAGAAGGAATACCCAATTCCCAAAGCATTTCACAAAGAATAGGCTGGAAGAAAAGAACAACGTGTCAGGTGAAGTTGTCCTCAAGACATTGGTTAATAGAGGTCTTCGTTGTGAGTTCCATTGTCCTGGAGGGCTATAAGAGTATTTCCCATGTAGGGGTAGGCGTGGGAGTAGAGAGACTAAAGACATCAGCTTCTAGTTCCTTCTAGAAGGAATAAATAAAAGGAATAAATAAAAGGAAGGAATAAATAAAACGTACTAGAGTGGGTTTGGGATGCGTTAAAATGACTGTGGTTTGAGAAAATACCTGTTGATCTACTTCCTGATAGAATCTGCAATGTTTATACATCTATACAGAGAAGAAAATTAGATCTTCAAAGAACTAAGCACCTGCACAAGCTGTTTTAGTTGAAGGAACTGCTTTCGCAGAATTTTAACTACATTTATGCTTCTGTGCCTATATTTAGGAATTGTATTGAAAGAAATGAGGAGACACAGTCCTACAGAAATCCCTGTTGCATCTGTTGCAGAAATAGCCCTGAGGGCCCCCCACTGCCCTGCAAGGTTAGCCTCCTAGTTTGGCACCCAGACATGGAGCCTGATAGCCTAGGTTTGAATCTCATTTCTACAACTGACTAACTCTCTGGTCTTGGGCAAACTACTAACTTACTCTCAAATTCTCAGTTTCCTTATCTGTAAAATGAGTGTCATAATAGTATCCACCTGACATGATTGCCAGGATCAAATGAGAAAATGTCAGAAGAGCATTTAACTCGGTCCCTTGCCCACATGCAAACTGTGAACTGTGATTCCTCACCTCTCCCTGGTCTCTACATTAAAAAGGCAGATCTTTTTCTGACTTGCCGATATGCACCTTCTGCCTGATTATTCTGTCTCTTTTCTTTGGCTTCTAGGACTCTTAGGTCCAAATTTGCAGCCCACTTGTAGTAACTGAACAGCATCGTCTGACAGACATTCCCGTGTGCTCATCGTATTGCTGCTCTACCAGCTGTTTTCCTTGTCTTCTTCCTTACTTATCGTGGTCATTTAGTCCATCCTTTATTCTGTGTATTTTTATAAGCTGTCTCAACTTTTTTATGGAGCAAGGGAAGGGGTAAATTACTAGCTAAGTAAATAAGTGATCCATGGCTGAGGCCAGGGGAGGAGAGGAGTCGCGGCGGGGTTGGGGAGGACTCTGATGAACGAGCTCCTCCAGATGGGGAGGGGGCGATAGAAACCACTCACTGGACCTCTTCCAAACCATTCTTGCTTTATGCCTTCCTTGGTATCCACCATGTCTGCTACCACTTTTTGTTGTAATAATGGGCCGGGAAACCCTCAAGAACAAAAAGTAGGCCAAGTTGCCTACTTGTTTTGGTGACAGGATTCGGTGGGAAAATGGGGGCATCTCTCTTCCCACTACAAACACGGAGCCCCTGGATTCAACCTGGTTTTCTTCCATGACTCCGTGGCCTCCGTCCACTGGTGCTTGTGTTCCAACTGCAGACAAAGGCTTTCCCGGGAAGGGGCAGCGTTTTCCTGGCCAACAGGATGCTGAGTGCTGACAGGCGCACAGTACGCACCAAACACGCCACTCTCCTCTGCTGGGGTCAGGAAGGTGAGTCACCTCCACCAGCCGCGGGGACTCAGAGCCTCGGATCTTCCCAGCAATGTCCTGGGCTTTTGCAATGTGGAATACTGCAAGGGCTTTTTTCAGGGATCCAGCTGAGGCCTTGGTGACCGATTTCTCCCCTAATAACAACTGGGGAGGAAACTGCTAACTAGAGATAAAGATAAGAGAGTTTCTGGTCTTTTCAGTACCAGACCTTGAAAGTGAGGTGTCCCCAAAGCACACACTAGCACAATTCCCCCAAACTCCATGCTTGCCTGCCTGGAAGGTTTTGTTAAAGAAACAATCACCTAAGTGTGCCCACTCATTACCATTCTCGCTGAAATTCGACGCCGCTATTTCTTTGCTTATGGAGTGGCGGAGGGCCAACCTGTGGCTCAGCCTCAGAGGCACACACGGCTACAGGCGCAGAAGGCAAGGCAGAACTCCAGGGAGGGAAGGCGTCAGTGGGTCTGGGGGCAAAGGCAGCCCTTGCGGTAGCACTGCCTGGCCAGGGCCCTCCACAGAGAACACTGTGGGCGCGCTCTCAGAAAGCTGATGTCCTAGGTCTACAGTGAGGTTCATCTTTTAATTTGTAAGAAGCCTTTTTGTTTACCTTTTTTTTCTTCTTTACCTTTTTTCTCTAATTTAGTGAATAGGGAAAAAACAATCCAGTATACAAAAAGTCAGATAGAGACACGAAAAAGCACATATGGTATATTGCTAAGTGAATTTTAAAAATCACAAAACCATAGACAAACCCCATTTTTTGTAGTGACAAAAGAAATCAGTGAGAAGGGGTGTGAAATGATTCATGCCAAGGAGTTAACAGTTGCCTCCTTCGGAGAAGGGTGTGGATTTGGGGAAGGAGTGATGAAGGAGGGGAAGTTTTTACCCTGAAATTTTGGAATTTTTGGAAAGAACATATAGTAATTTTAAAAGAGCAAAAAGCTCAATTTAGGAGCTCTGGGTTGGGAGTATTTCCCGCAGGCAGAGCTCAGGCTCGTCCTTGAGGGTGGACGCTCCTCCCCATGCTGCCTCGGTCCATGAGGGAAGTCCCCACCTCCCCACGCCACCCATCAGCATGAGGGACCCTCTCTGCCCCGCTCCAAGTCAGGAATGCTGGCTCCTCCCGACAGCGCAATGACTGCACTTAACGGAATGCAAACGGTATTTCCATTTAATGCTCACGTAGCTCCCGTGAGGCGGGTAGAGCGGCATGTCCACTTTACGCCCACGGAACCTGAAGTCCAAGAGGAGAAACTGCATGGCTACCAGCAGGCAGCGAGGGCAGTGAGCCAGGCCCCTCCATCCAGGCCCAGGGCTCCTTTCAGCCCCTGCTTCCTCTGGCAGAAGGCTGGCCTGGAGCTACCTGAGGAGGGTGAGACGGAGCACAGGGTCTCTGCCTGGATGTACCACGAGAACGCCGAAATGACCATGCCAGGACTGTTCCGTGGCGGTTAACTCTGTGTGCAACCTGGTGGCCACAGTGCCCAGATATCTAGTCAAACAGCAGTCTAGAAGTCACTGTGAGAGTATTTTTTAGATGAGATTAACATTTAAGCCAGTGAACTTTGAGTAAAGCACTTTACTCTCCATAATATGGGTGGGACTCATCCAGTCAGTTGAAGGTCTTCAGAGAAAAAGATGGAGGGCCCTGGAAGAGAAATTCTGCCTTCACGCTGCCTTTGGACTCAAGCTGCAACCTCAGCTCTTCCCTGGATCTCCAGCCTGCTGGCCTGCCCTTCACACTGCAGTCTTGCCAGCCCCACTATCACGTGAGCCAATTCCCTAAAATAAATCTCTCTCCTTCTACATCTACATGTATACACACATCCAACCGGTTCTGTGTCTCTGGAGAACCCTAAGCAATACACTTTCTCTAAAGGAGAAGACTGGGTGGACACATTTCTTCTAAACCACCTTTCACTGCCATCACCACCCCCAGCAGTGAGGCTTGCGCGACTTACACGCTTCACAAGTAATTGAGTGAGCACCAACAACTAGGTGGAAAATGCTTCATGGCTTTGCCAGATAATGATATTTATTTAGCCTACTGCTTTGTTCCCGTCTAAGTCATTGGAGCTAATGGAAAAGAACAGAAACTGACTGGACTAAATCAAGGGTGGGAGTGATGAGTGGTGAGGTACCTTCCATTTCTGAAGAGTCTGTGACCCAGGATCATTCCAGAAACTAGAGCTTCTGTTTTGTCTGTTAAATCAGAGTAACTGGGGACTGGCGGGGCCAGAAGCAAAGCTCTAAGCCAGGCACTGCTTCCTCTCCCTCCCACCCATGTGCAGGTCCCTCTGTAAGGAAGGGCCCAACCCCATGCTGTCTACACACGCCCTCACCATGGGCAAACACTTCCTGTTACCTATACACAATGCTGAGACCAGCATGAACTCATTTAGGTGCCTGCATTTTACAAAAGCTAGGACAAGAACTCAGAGAAACAGCTCCTAACTGGGGAGCATCACTGCTCCAATTTTAACCATGAAGGAGACTGAGGCCCAGGGATATTGGGATGTCTGCCCAGGGCTGCACGGGAGTCATGGTCCAAGCTGGTCATGAGGCTGCCGGGAAGGAGAAAGGTGTCTGGGAGGATGTGCCCTGGCTTCTCTGGAATCCTCATTCACCAAGCCTCACCACTTCTTGAGGAGCAGATCCTGATGAAGGGATGGAGACTTGGCATCCTGGCTTTACCGCAGAACTATGTCCTGGATATGGAAGACTGCTTCTTAATTCCCATTTAAATTTCTGGCCTAATGTCTCCTTTCAAATAAGTTGTGTCCAACACAGCATTTCATTTCCCACAACGTGGCGAGCTCGTTCCTTGTCTGCCACAGCTTGGAGAGTTCCCTTATCCCTCAGCACTCAGCTTAGCAGTTACCTCCTCCAGAAAGCTTCCCTGTCCCTTCCCTGTCACACACACACACGCCCGCTAGCTCTGGCGGTCCACAGGCTCCGTGCTAGATGCCTTGCATGGTCGCCAGGCTGAGCCCTTTAAGGGCAGGGAGCCTGGCTCTGAGAGCATCCGGCGCATGGTAGAGCTTGGTAGACATCTGATGGCTAGGCCACGGAGAGAGTAGGAGTGAGGACACTAGGGGGTATTTCCTCTTTTAGGGAAAAATGACTAGAAATGACTAACCATCTTGCGTGATACATAGTGGGCATTCCATGTTTAGAGAATAATTCTCAAAGGTAAGAGGGTTGCGCTCAGAATAAATACCCCCTGACTTAAGTTATGCTGTGGGGATACTAGGCAGTCTCACTGTAATTTCTGGGTAAAAATGTCAATGGCCATGGAAAGAATGTTTTCAATTTTAAGTTTTCCTTCCATACCTTTTCCAAAACCACCATAATGTCTTGTTGCTTATCTAGAATCTAGTAATTAGCACAAAATTTAGCCCCAAATTATGTATTAGGGGTATTTTAAACTTGAATATGACAGGATTCCAGGGGCCTGCCAATTATCTAGGATAAATAAGATCCACCTGGTGTCAAATTTTCCAGTTAATTCAACAAATTCAAAATCACTTGGCATTAGGCAACATTGTGTTTGTTCCCCTTCATTCATTCATCCACTCATATGGGGAATGGAAGCCTTCTGCCATAGGAGGGTTAGTAAGGTGCTCTAGGGGATAAGACATCAACAAGCAACAAGGAGGAGGTCAGAAGTCCACCAGTGGGTGGATGGGAGTGCACGGGCTAAACCTAAAAACATAGCTTAGACTTTTGATCAAATGGTGTTATAACCATCAAGGAAACCTAAGTTAAAAAATATACAGATAATGCTGTGATTAGGAGTAGGGCCCAGTAGGGATGAGATAGGCTAGATCTTGATGAGAAGGATGCTGAAAAGGAAAGGGAAGAACTTAACGTATGGAAAATTTTCTTTGGCTAATAGCTGCCATTCCATACAGGCAATAAAAATAAATCCGTAGCATTCTTGACTAATAAAGGGACAAGCAACAAGATGGGCTGGACAGGGGCTGGCCCCTAGGCCAAGCTGGAGGAAAGGCAGCCTGGGGCCTGGGGCAATGACTCAGGCAGGAGGAATGTGGCTCAGGCCGCCTGCAGCTGTGATAAGGAGGACAGGATGGGGCACAGCAGAGGACATCCTGGAGCAGCCCAGCGACTTTCCACATAGGAGCTCATGTAGAAACCCCGGGCCTGAAAGAATTCCAGCCCCCACGCCAGGCGGAGTCCTGGAATGCGAACAAGGGGAAACGAGTAGAGATGTGACCCTCCATCCCCAAGGCCTGGTGGAGAGAGGGAGCGGAGCAGAGCTGAGGTCCCGTGTGCTGTGCAGACAGCCTCGTTACAGACCCAGCTGGCTCCTGCCTTCCAGCCTTGCAGCCCTGAGCCGTGGTGAACACTTTTCAGCCTAGCCTGGGATGTCCCCATGCTCTGCGCCTTCTAACACTTGGATTCAAACCTCAGGCATGTTTCTCCTACCAGCTGGTTTTGTGCCATATCTGTATAATGCTTGTGCCTTAATTTACTTAGGATGCTCCCTTCAGGGGGCTTACATTTTATACATAGCCTCTGCCCGCTAAGCAAATATCCTTGTTCATAAATTACTGTCACCTGAACCCCCATACCCCTTCCGCCCCCCAAACACAGAGGGTCCCTGGGCTTCCTTGCAGCACTGTCAAAACCCTTCCTGAGCATCGAAGGGCATCCACTCACCAGGCCCCCGATGGGACCAGGCACAGGGCACGCTTTCCCGCTTTGGAAGCAATCTCATTACTAGGCAGTGTAAACCACCGGGATTTCCCAAGAGGAACAGGTCCCTGCTTCGTCAGGTTTCTGTGCTCTGGGGCTCAGGCCCCTCCCCCTACAACCTCTCCTACACACGCTTGGGGGCTGGGGTTCTGGCCCATCCTTCAGCGAGCTCCCTGCTTCCCCAGTAAAGTAAGACATCATCCTATTAACATCCTGGTGGTAAGTCATGTTGCTCGCGTGTACCTTGATAGGACGTGATGAGAATTACACTTCACCTCTGTGGTCTTCCTTCCAAAACCCAACAGGCCCACTCTAATTATGAGAAAAACCTCAGACAAATCCCACCTGAGCAGCGCTCTACAAAATAACTTACCAGTACTCCGCGAAACTGTCAAGGTCATCAAAAACAAGGAAAGTCTGAGAAATCATCGTAATCAGGAGGAACTTAAGGAGACATAATGATGAAATGTAATGTGATGTCCTAAATGGGATCCTGCAGCAGAAAATGACATCAAGCAAAAACTAAGGAAATCTGAAATAAGGTATGGAGTTTAGTTAATAACAATGCATCAATACTGGTTCCTTAATTCTAGCAAATGTATATAAATGTAACATAAAAAGTTAATTATCAGGGAAACTGGGTGTGGGCTATGTGGGAACTCTGTACTATCTTTGCACCTTTTCTGTAAATCTAAAACTGTTCTAAGAGAAAAAGTTGGCTTTAAAAAAAAAACGGCTGTTTTTGAAAAGTCATTCTACAACCCCCAATAGAGCAGTAACTGCTGAATCCCATATCACTGAAGAAAATCTTACTTGTGGGTCCTAAATGCTGCCTTTCAAACTATAGACATGATAAAGTACCATTAGTTACCAAGTGAAAACTCACCCACTTTAACCTTCTTTACTGCTATTTTAAATATCTATTATATATTCAAGATATAATAATTAAGAACCACTATTACTATGTCCTTTAAAAATTCTGGTTTGGGGACTTCCCTGGTGGCACAGAGGTTAAGAATCTGCCTGTCAAGGCAGGGGACACGGGTTTGAGCCCCAGTCCGGGAAGATCCCACATGCCGCGGAGCAACTAAGCCCGTGTGCCACAACTACTGAGCCTGCTCACCTAGAGCCCGTGCTCTGCAATAAGAGAAGCCACCGCAATGAGAAGCCCACGCGCCACAACGAAGAGTAGCCCCCGCTTGCCGCAACTAGAGAAAGCCCGCGCACAGAAACGAAGGCCCAACGCAGCCAAAAATACATAAATAATTGATTTTTTAAAAAAATTCTGGTTTGACTTATTTCTGATTCAGAAAGTAATATGTTACATGGTATGACTTGAAAAGAAGACATTGTTGCCAAAATTATTTCTCCCATAATAGTATTATTTGCAAACTTCCCATAAAAGCATTTTTCGAAATGACTCAGAATGCTGACTCCACCACATTCTACCTTGTAGGAATTGTGATAACGAAGCAGTAATTTCCGGTAATAGCGAGGTGCCATACACCCCAAGCAAGAAGATTCCATATATTATTGTGCGTATGTGAAGTCTGGTCCATTCTTTCTTGGAGTAATTTGTGAAGTTATAAATACTTGTTCCTCTGATTTCATCCCTCATTTATTTCTTGTGCTGTTGTTGTTTTATAGGGAATGGGAGGATTTGAGAAGGGGAGAGATGTTATCCGGGGGAAATTTGGGGAGAAGCTTTACTTGTTCTCTGAAGAAATGTCTCAAACATAATACTAGTGCCTTGGCCTGCCTATGTGTGGCACAGAACATATTATGACACCATCATGGAATCAACTTATGGCAGGCTCGGTTGAATGGAAAATCAACGGGCTGGCAAGTGCCTTTGAAAGACTGAAATACGCACCATGAACCCTGTCGCGCAGTCCTGCCCCGCCGCTAAAATCCGAACACCTCCCTGTTTTGTTTTACCTGCCATCTAGTCTTTTGGGCTTCCTCACACCTCAGTCCTGGCACCCATTTTCCCCCCTTTGCCAGCTTCTCCCTGGTTTCATACCCTTCCACTCTGTGTGGGTTGGGACAGAAAACTTGGCCCAAAAGGGTTAGGGCAGGGGGCTGCTGGCACAACTTCCACTGAGTCCCCTACGTGCCCAGTCCTCTGTCAAGTGATCCTCCCCGTCTGTTTCGTTTTGTTAGCAAGGGCTTTGGCATTTCAAAACGAATCAACGATTAGAAGGCTCACAATACAATCAGCCAATCAAAAAGCTGCAGAGCAACTGAGTGACTTCAACATCTTAAAGCTCGTTTCTGAGCACTGCCCACACCCAGAGCCTGATGAGTTGGTCTCTTTAGGCAGTTTGCTCACTTCCCTTCCACTGGTAACTGGTGCTCAAAGGACCCCCAGTTTAAGCAAAATCTGACTGGTCTGCTCATACTTGGAGGTCCTAGCGCTGCTTACTTTCATGAAACAAAACCTTCAGTTGCCCAGAGCCTTTGGCGGTTCCACGTTGGCTACTCACAGGGCACAAGCTCATGTTGAGACAGGCACATTGTCTGGTTGGTTCCATCACCATTCTGTAAATTCTGCCAAATGTTGTTTGCACACAGATTCACCCCCATGCTGACAAAGGAGAGTTAGTGACTGAGACTATTTCTACCATGTCCCAGGGCCAGGCCTGACAAGGAGGTGAGAAGTCTGGATTTGGAGGCCGAGGATCTGGGTTTGCACCCCACACCTCTGCTTACTAGATAGGTAAAGGATAGGTTAACAGGAATGCTCAGAAATCTTAATGTGCTCATCTGAAAATGAAGGTAATAATCCCTGTGTGTTGTGGAGCTTATGTGAAATTTCATGTCAATGTGCTTTGCGAGGTGCTACAGATATGAAGTGCTTTAGCATTCACGGTGTAAAGTTTACAGAGATGCTTCCGAGCAGGCTGAGGTAATATGCAGGCAGCTTCAGAACTGTCAATTTCATTACGATGTTAAAAATGTGACTCTTAAGGCCTTCCGTGCCACTTGGCTACCAATTGAATAGTAAAAAGAAAGTTGAGAAAACCATGGCCAATTGGTATTTGCAGAAATGTTAGTAGAGGTGTAGGCTTTGTTGTTAGACAAAAAAGCTCTTGAATTGGTCAGGGCCAAATGCAACCTTCACAACCTGTCAATCTATCAATCTAAGCGAGAGAAAAGATGGGTAGGACTTGATAAGGACTTTGCAAAGCTCCAAGCCTTTGAAGCAGGTGAGTGGGAAGCCAGCAAGTGCTGAGGCCCTCTCAGTGCTGTTCAGCCTTTTCATCCTCTGAATGGTATCTTGTGATGAACTGAATTTTAATTTTGCTGCCCTTTTATTGATCACTGTATTTCTTGTACAGTTAATGGGTTTTTTGTGTGTGTTCTAAGAAATCTTTGCCTACCTCAAGGTCATGAGGCTATTCTCCCATGCTCTCTGCTAAAAGCATTTTGGTTCCCTTTTCTATTTAAGTTTGTTATTCATCTTGAATTAATTATTTTGAGTATGATGTCAGGGTTTAGATAAATGTATCATGGCATGCATCCACCATTATGGTATCATACAGAGTATCTTCATGCCCTAAAAATCCTCTGTGCTCTGCCTATTCATCTCTCCCCTCCCCCCAACCCCTGGCAACTACTGGTCTTTTTACTGTCTCTATAGTTTTGCCTCTTCTAGAATGTCTTACAGTTGGACTCATACACATGAGGTAGCCTTTCCAGACTGGCTTCTTTCACTTACTAATATGCATTTAATTTTCCTCCATGTCTTTGTATGGCTTACTAGCTCATATGACCTTAGCCCTGAATAATATTCCATTGCCTGAATGTGCCACAATTTATCTTCTTACCTACTGAAGGTCATCTTGGTTGCTTCCAAGTCTAGGCAATTATGGACAGAGCTGCTATTATCATCCATACGCAGGTTTTTGTGTAGATGTGAGTTTTCAACTCCTTTGGGTAAATGCCAAGGAGCGTGGTTTCTGGATCGTATAGTAAGAGTACGCTTAGTTTTGTAAGAAATTGTCAAACTGTCTTCGAGAGTGGCCGTACCGTTCTGCATTCTACCCCATGAATGAGAGTTCCTATTGCTCCTCATCCTTGTCAGCTTTTGGTGTTGTCAGTGCTCTGGATTTGGGCCATTCTAATAGGTGTATAGTGACAGTATTCACTTTTTGGTGTATAGTCCTATGTTGCATAGAATTTTTTTGACATAATTTACATAGAGTAAAAACCTTTTCAATGTGTACAATTCAGTTGTTGTGAAACCATCACCACTATCTAATTTTAGAGCATTTTCATCATCCCCCAGAAGAAACCTGTGTCCATTAACAGTCTCCATTTCTACCTCTCCCAAGCCCCTGGCAACCACTGTCCTGCTTTCTGTCTCTACAGATTTACCTATTCTGGATATTGTATATAAATGGAATCATGTAATATGTGATTTTTGCATCTGGCTTCTTTCACTTAGCATGTTTTTGAGGTTCATCCATGTTGTAGCATGTGTCAGTACTTCAATCCTTTTTATGGCTGATATATTCCATTGTGTGGATAAACCACATTTTATTTACCCATTCATCAGTTGGTGGACATTTGGGTTGTTTCACCTTATGGCTAGTGTGAATAGTGCTGCTATGAACACTCATGTACAAGTTTTTGTTAGAATAGTTTTCAGTTCTTTGGGGTATATATCTAGGAGTAGACTTGCTGAATCATTTGGTAATTCTACGTTTAACTTTTTCAGGTACCATCAAAATGTTTTCCACAGTGGCTGTACAATTTATATTCCTACAGCAATGTATGAGTGTTCCAATATCTCCATATTCTCCCCAACACTTGTTTATTTTCTGGTCTTTTTTTTTTTTTTTTTTTAGCCATCCTAGTGGGTGTGAAGTGATACCTCATTGTGGTTTTGGTTTGCGTTGCTCTAATGACTAATGATGTTGAGCATCTTTTCATTGGCCATTTGTATATATTTGTTGGAAAATGTCTGTTCAAGTCCTTTGCCCATTTTTTAAATTAGGTTCTTGTCTTTTTGTTGTTGAGTTATAAAGTTCTTTAGATATTCTGATTGCTAGACCCTTATCAGATATATGAATTGCAAATATTTTCTCCCATTCTGTAGGTGGTCTTTTTACTTACTCTCTTGATAGTGTTCTTTGGTGCACAGAACTTATAAAATTTTGATGAAGTCCAATTTATCTATTTCTTTTTGTTGTTGTTGCCTGTGCTTTTGGTGTCATATCCAAGAAATCACTGCCAAATCCAATATCATGAAACATTTCCTATATGTTTTCTTCTAAGAGTTTTATAGTTTTGGCTCTTACATTTGGGTCTTTAATCCATTTTGAGTTAATTTTTGTATATGCTGTAAGGTAAAGGCCCAACTTCATTCCTTTGCATATGTATATACAGTTTTTCTATCACTAATTGTTAAAAAGCCTGTCCTTTCCACATTAAAGTGTCTTGACCCTTGTTGAAAATCAACTGACCATATATGTAAGGGTTTATTTC